TGAACGTTCGCTCTTAAATATCGTCCCATGGTGTAAATGATTAGCAAACTGGACTTGCAATTCAGAGGTTGCCGATTCGAGCTTGCGGCGCTGCTGCAGTTGACACAATGGGCACGTTTCTTGAATCCCACAATTCATGTCCACTCAGCAGGATAAATAGGTACACACCGCTAGTTCATCCATCGGCAGGTCACGTGTGCTGGACTAAAGTGTGAGTACTCCTACATCTTCCAAGATGTCTGGTGAAGGTTTAAGAGTAGGAAAAATAAAAACCTCTGGATCTCCCTCACGTTAAGGCCCTTCCCACCCAACGGCAGTGTAGGCAGAAATTACAGACCTTTATAAGATGTACTTCAATAGGATGATCATAACATCCTATTTTCAATTTTTTTTAAAGATATGCTGCTCAGCCAAATACTACAGTAATAATGTCATGTGTTTGTTGTACATTCGCTGAAAGTTGACTATAAAAATGCACCTTCAATTCACTAACTTGTATAATTGAAAATTGGGAAAATTTTACATCATGCTTAGCCAAAACTCATGCATGTGGGGTTAATTGTATGTGGGCTGTTTAAGATCGTTGTTTATAGGTTGTTTAATCATTAAATTACAAAACTACCTTTCTAAATGTCCGAGCAAGGAGGCGTTCGCCGCTGTTTGCAGAGAAAAAAAGAGTCGGGAACCGCAGTGAGGGCTTCCCTTGGTAAACAAGCACAATAACAACAACAACACACGATGCATGTATTGTGAGCAGAAAAATATTGTTATCCGTGAATATATGCATTGTTTCTGAAGGGTCGCTGTGTTTTGGCTATGTGGTTATGACCTTCAGCACGCAAGGGTATCTACACTTACACAGGATAGTCCCTTCGCTCCTTGCGTTTATGGCACACACTTGCCAAAAAGGATCACTCAACTGGTGCACGTGCTACAGGGTAACATTTTACAAGCGCGCACTGCCTGTAAACTCAGCACCCTTCCCACATTACCAAGCTCATAAAATGATACCCTGCAGCATTTGAATCCATGACAAAAATCACCCTTAATTTAATTCCATTGAAGACCTCCCGAAACACACACCTTGTGTGATTCCCACGTGTTGAAAACACGCACACACAACGCTGATATAATTACTAATCTTTTTCCGTGTAAAAACGTATACCGTCAAAGTATCAGCAGAACTCTCGTCTCTCCTGATATAGAAATAAAAGATTGGTCGTGTCATTTTAGTGACCCAGGTCGCTCTTGTAAATAAGGATTATCCTGGTATCTTGCATTATCACCTGGTTAAACAATAAGAACTTTGAAAACTGAAACTTGTATTGTTTCGTCCATCCGCCTATTGGATTTCCAGACAAATATTATCCAGCAGCCTTTGTATAAGTAACCGAAACGCATGAACTGGGTTCAACAGTTTTGAATCTAATCAGCCAGAGTCCAGCTTGTTAAAAGTCCCTCTTGTTAAACATATACTGCTGGGTTACCATTTGTCATTTCCAAGGGCACTTTATCTCCACAACGGGGTCCTGTTCAAGGCACGAGGCAGTATTGTACACAAACTGATTGTGTTGTGGATAATATTTTTGGCGAAAAATTTCCATACTCAAATTTCGTGTGCATATATAAATGAGATACATTTTTAGTATACATTGTCCTCTTGGCTTTCCATACCAATATAGTTTGTTTCATGTAGGTCACTGATAGCATATATGGCCAAGTGTCAGTTGATGATTTTGCAAACCATGAGTGTTCATATTTTGTTAGCGCATGCTTCTTTTGAGCCTCGTGCGTTATTTGCTGTGCCAGCACACATTATGTGGAGGTAGATGTACAGTGCCACATAAAAAAAAACTAAAGCCATTGAAATGAGACGTCGCACGTAACACTTTCACATGAATCTACGCTTCATTCTCCAACGGGTCTTCAACAGCATTTGAGAAGGAGAGTTCACTCATCAGACGTCTCAAGTAACGTAGCTTTCAGTCCCTCTTAGTAGAAATATTCAAAAATGGATATCGTTGTCGGTTGGCGAAACACCATTTTTCGCTCTATAAATAACGCTGCAAACAAGCCAAATCTAAAAACAATATATATTTTGTTTATGCCGTTTCTGGTAATGTGGGAAATATTATTTTCCTGCCAAATCTAAGCAAATGTTCCATTATTGACCCTACATGCAATGGTAAGCACATATATAAGTCTATCCAATGTTACTTTTAGATTCAATTGTATAATGTAGCTTGGGTTAACGCCACAAACGTAATGTGGTATGCAGCACATCACCCCTGTGATGCGAACCCGACTGCTTTCTCTATAACTTGTACAAATACACAGTGGCATATTTGGGCACAAGATTAAATTAAAGATGATTTTCTGCAGCTGTAAAAACAATCTCTAAAATTAGTAAGTTTGACCACTCTTCCAATTTATTATCATGTCTATTTGAGATACGTATCGTTTAAAAAAAGGTTCAAAGTGAAAACTTGGTGTAAATGTGCAATATTAATTAGAATAGTTAATTTTCGAAACAACGTGACTTACCGAAAAAGCTAAGAATATGTTCATATTCTACTTGGGGGAATGAGAAATTGGTGTCACTCAGCTTTAATTTTGCATTCTAAAGGGTCCCCCGTCTAATGTAGAATAGCACGTTGAGATTCATCTCTTATTTCTGCAATAAAATAACTTAAAGGACATGAAATGAGTAATGTATGCACACACCATGCATTATATATTGCAGGCTAAGTGCACGGCACAGCCATTGTCTTCCAAAATTTATAGGCACTGTGTATTTACGGCTTTGTCGCACAAGTATATTCTGTGTAAATCAATTGACATACATATGTTCCAACCTTTAAAATGAATTAGAAATAACAATGACATGCAAAGCCTCAAGGTAAATATAACATTTCATTGTGTTTGTTTTTTGTCTTCCTATTTCCAACTTGAACGAATGTCAACGTTGTCATCTCAAATCACATTGTGCTTACTCAATTAAGCCTGATATAAGAACTGGAAAACACGTTGGGTGGGACATGAGGTTCATTAGCAAAGATTTTGTCACCAATACTAGTCACACCGTGTGTTATTCGTGCCAAGAAATGGAACACATCCGACGGAGGATGGAGAAATGAAATCACTCGACGTGCAGATGCTAGGTAGATGATTACGTTGCAGGATCGTGTTTAGGTGGTGGTAGCTTGTGGAGGCCTTCATCCAGCAGTGGAGTGACCTGGCTGATGATATTTGCTGACCCGCCAATACTGGGCATGTGAAAAACAGAGCTTCATAGCTCATCGGATTCCTGCAGTCTAAATAAAGATTCTGATATGATATGTGCAATGCAGTGTTGGATGTGACCAGTAAAATAAAAAGTACTCCGAATAAACATGTTCAGTGCAGGTCACAGAGACATGTGATAGCACAAATCTAATTTAGCCTATAGCTACATCTATAAATCACAATACAATTATGATTAATAACAAGTGTTACCATAACCACAGTTCTCAGGCCACCTTTGAAATATATATTAATACATGCCACTGATATACAAAATAAAAACATTAACAAGGCACCAAACGTTGCTGTACAGTTCTTGTTTTGGTCTACATTGTGTAGAGGCGGCACAATTTGAACGCTGTGTCAAGAGCCCCATGATTCTGTGTCTGGAGCCTTAAATAATAGAACCGTGAGCTCGCGGAGGAGAGGGTTAACACATACAGTACGGTACGCTGCAGAATGGACAATCCATCTTCCCCGGCCGGTACAGTGCGATGCTGTGCACCAAAAGGGAAGATTGTGCTGAGCACAGCGTTCGGAGTCCTGCCAACCCTCACTGCAATCCCCTGATGGGGCTTACGCTCATTCAATCCACTCCCGTTACCGTACTGCTCCTTCATACGGACAAGATTAAACACAACATGCACGGATTGATTCTCTTTGTCTTTCTCATCGTCAGCCATGGTCAATCTCCTGCTGGACGAAGGCCTCTCCAAAGCCACTGCCACATTCACGATGCTAATGTGTAATGCTCATCTGATACCTATACTTGCACACGTAAACATTCTATGGTATTTTTGTTGAGGCTTGATGTCTGAGCACTACCGCTTTTTTAAGCTGGCCAATATATTATATTGTAGGGCCTCTTGAACAGTTTCTATTTCATATAATAATTGATCATTTTCAGCCCTCTGCCAAATCCACTGCAGGGTGAAGGACTCCCCATGCCATCTCGGTTTGACCATACTTCACAATGCTGGTCAGTGCTGGCTGATCAAAGTGGGGCAGCGAGTTATTTTTGTATTTTGTTCAAAAACTTAAAGTGAGTCCGCCTGCACAATTTATATTGCTGATGCCCTTCTCTTATATAAATGTAATCATACACATACACTTACATTATGTAACATCGTGGCTATTCAGACGTCCACATCACCGTCAAAGGCAACTTTGGAATAGATTCAAAGTGTTGACCTTGATTCCATTGAAAGCTGCATTACTTGACCTTCTGACCATCTGTTCTGACATCTCTCGGGGGAACAGCTCCCTGCACCCATCCCGACCCTCTCACCCATTTCTTTTTGGCTTAACAAATGAACATCATCAGCCACACTCAGCGAGGCCAAGCAGGATGTCTGCGCCCTGACCTTTCGTCACAGGCGCACCAAACTTAAAACGCATTCTTTTGAAACCAGAAAAAAATACACACAACAAAAAAACCCCGCCTGAACCCGTCTGTTCCACTGTGGCCACGTGTTACCAGTGTAATCACCTACAATGATCCAACTACCACGGCAAAAAAAACCAGCGCCGTGCATACAAGCTCCAACTCACGCACGCACGCACACAACACACCACCACTTCCATCCCCCTCCCTCCGGCTCTCTGCAGTGCTCCAAGCTAAGACTCCACCTCCTCCTTATCACGCGTGCGTGACTCCCAGCCCCAAAAACCCACGTACGCAGCACCCCCCCCCCCCCAACATCCATCCTCGGAGCTAACCCTGCCCCTCTGCCCTGCCAACCAAACACTGCTTGGGGACGCGTCACCCCACCCCCCATCATAGCCTGCCGAGCTTGGGGAAGGAGGGGTTGCAGAGGAAGGACATCGGCTACGTTCATCACTGAGCTTGTGCGCTGCGATTCAGACGGCCGAAGCAGATTGCAGCAAAGCGGCATCAGCGGCAGAGCATGCGCCCGTGCGATTAAGCGTCTCGCCGCGCTTAGACGCCGGTAGGTCTCTTCCACCACCGTTAGTCGCCTTCTTATATATTTAAAAAAATATATATTATAATTAAGTTTTCCATTATATTTTTGCCCGCCCCACCCGTGAGCTATTTGGTTTGCAATCTATCAAACTCCCACTACTCTCAACTACCCGCAACATTGTGATTGTTGTTGTTATTGTTGTTGTTATTTCCTTGCTAGGGGGAGGGCGGCTGGGCGGGCGGTATTGGGGAAGCTTCCCAAGCTAATCGCGATCTGCAAATGCAAGGCTGCCTGCTGTTCGACCTGCCCGTGTCCATCCCGCTGGGGAACGGCATGTACAGCGGGGTCGACACTGAAAGCCCTGTCCGACGCTACGGAGGAGACCCATCGCCTGCACACCTGCCCCCGCTGTCCAGCTACATGGTAAGCAAGGAATGGCACACCGGGTGAGAATCGTCACACCGGCATCGAAATCTTGGAATCCGATGAGCTGTGAAGCTCTTTTATTTGGGGGGGGGGGGGGGGGGGGGGGGTTGGGGGTGGTTTCTGAACAGACATCAAATATGGGAGGGTCAACACACACACACACCCAAGACAACGATCCCTCCGGATAGGCTTTTGACAGGACTGTTGGGGCAAGTGCTGTTAGCGAGTAGCACCTAATGAAGGCCGGCACCGCGTACGTTGGGGGTGGGTGGCCAGCGCCACGCCCGGCCGCCTTTGTCTCCCCAGTGGCGATGTTTACACATCGCACCGGGTTACTCATTTGAGGACGAGTAGACCATCACACACATCACTGCCACCACTGCCACCAGCAACAGCTTCGCTTCGGCTTCTGCTTTTTATTACCCAGCAAAGTCTCACCGAGTCTCAAGACTCTTTCTTTTTTCAGGAAGGTCCTGCCAAGTATTGGATGTGACGCAATGTATGTTGAACTTCTTCGCACCGTACGTAGGCAACCATGCTAATCGGAGGTGCGGGCTATTCACAGTCGTGGTGGGCGATGCTGCGATGTGTGTAATCCTAATTGAGTCGTTGGATGTTTCACCAATGCCAGTGACATTGGGGTTTTTTGTTTTTATATGGGAGGGAGCCAGAGTACCCGCAGGGAAGCCATGCAGAGCGGGCGGGAGAAGAGACAAACTCCATGCGAAAGGCGTCCGAGTTGGGCATCAAACCCAGGGGCTTCTTGCTGCGAGGCACGGGTGTTATAACACACAGTGTGTTAGTGTTACGCCACTGTGTTACACTGTGTTATAACACACTGTGTTACACCACTGTGTTATAACACACTGTGTTACACCACTGTGTTATAACACACTATGTGTTACACCACTGTGTTATAACACAGTGTAACACAGTGTGGTGTAACACTAACACACTGTGTGTTATAACACTAACACTCTGTGTGTTATAACACTGTGCTATACAGCATTATACCACTGTGTTACACCACTGTGTTATAATACAGCGGTATAACGCTGTGTTATAACACTATGCCACCATGCAGCAGCATGGGTTACCACATTATGGAATACTGATTATGGACAGATATACATAATCGCCCATGCTTGTATGTAGTATGTGTGCTGTCGCCTGTGTTGACGACACGATCACCATCCATCCATCGTCACCGTTGTGATCTCGCAAGAATGTAAATCTGAGCGTGATAAGTCTGTCCCTGTCAAGAGTCGCGCACGCATACATAATGTGAATGCCGTACACGGTGTGTTTAATTTAGAGGGTTCTGGACAATTGTCGCATTATATTGATTTATTTCTTCTCGGTCGAATTTGTAAATGCTCCTTTGTTAAGCGTCTTTCACCATGCCTTAGTTTGGTTGTGTAAGACTGCGGCATTCTCTGCAACCGAAATGGAATGGCAAGCATTTGCGGGCGAATGTGTGGGGGGAGGTTTTGTTAGGTGTTCTTTTTTTGTTGTCAGTTCGGCGTTGTGCTTCCTCGATGCTTACCAGCATCAAAATATTTCCCAGCTCGAGCTGGGAGGGGAAGAACCAAACCCGTGTAATAGAAGTCCGTACCCTTGGGGTGCCCATATGGCAACCCCCAAAGCGGTATGTTGCTATGCTAATATGGTACAGGTACTGAACACCACAACACTGTGTTGAGCAAGCGCGAATACGCTTGCTATTTATTTGACAGTGTGTATTATTTGCAGCAGGCTGGCACTGCTATCTCACTCATCTCACTTTGGAGAGGAAGCAAATTTCGAATAAATACCGCTATTATCGTGCGCCCATCCCCGGACGCAGTTCCTCCCAGTGGGGGGAGGGGGGGGGGTGGTTATTTATTTTTCCAGCATGTCCTAGTTGTAGTAGTAGTAATGTGCAATCGTGTGTGTGTGTGTGTGTCAGATCCTCAGTTCCGTATCTCAGTTTCCTGCCCATAAGGACGAAGGGGCGAGCGTCGGGACAAACCACACATTCCTTGGGGCCCCCCATTCATCAACACCCCCCCCCCGTCCCCACCGCGTGTCCGTTAAAGCCAAACCCCCCGCAAGTCTTTAAAGCAAAGCGCGTGCGGAATTTACGGAGCTTGATACAAAAAAAAGCAAATCCCTTGAGCAACGTGGTTGCAATATGCTCAGCTTTGGTTGCATTAACAAAGGGCGACACATCGTGCTGCTTCTAGGACTACACATCCCCTCCCTCCCCTTTCCTCTTGCCCTCCATTGTCTCGTCCTTGTCTCGTCCTTAGTCACCGCCGCTGCCGTCAATGCAGTGGCATTGTGTGTGTGTGTGCGCGTGCGTTTTCATCGGCCCTCAAAAAGCGGGTCAGGGCCGTTTATTCACTGAGCTATTGGGAAGGAATGGACGGCAGGATGTCCTGTTGCAAATCCACGCGTTGCGCGCAATTCTAAAACCACGGACTCATCCGTGTGACTGTATCCAGGACATGTCCCGCTGGTGGGTATTTATATCCTACAGCCATCCCAATGCTGTTTATAAAACAATATTTCATACTTAAGAAGGCGGCGTCAACTCATGCAGGTTTTTTTTTGGTAAGGAATGACTGTGAAACGGCACATCATAAGCAAGTAATCATAAAGTACTATTTTAATTATGCATTTCGGTTTTTTTTTTTACCGTGTGGTGGTTTAGTTGATGTTGAACGTTCACATTGTTCATGGTGAGGCTTCGTGAGGACGGCGAGTGGCTTCAGGAGTGACAGTCTGGATTCGGTCAGGCTCCCAGATTGGCTTCGGTTGTTTCGCTCCAGTTGCTGTTGCTGTGGTCCGTGGGTTGACATTGCCGGCCAGTCGGCACTGTGGGACGACGAAGGCATTGTGTCACTATCGGGGGTTGGTCCCCTGACGTCCCACGGGGAAAAAAAAATATTTACGCAACGATTTCCAAAATTGCATAAAACTAGATAACAATCAGCTGCAAAGCACGCAAACGTTTCATTAGCTGCACAAGATATATTTACTAAAACACCCGATGAAACACTACAAACAGGATTTCCCTGTTTCTTACAAAGCACCGTCCCAATTCCCACACACTATTTAATTACAAATACACAGTGTGTATATATGTAATGTGCCAGCAACTAACTCGCAACATATTGGCCGAGGATACCACTCTCCTTGCAAGGCAAGCGCAAGGCCAGATAAAGTCCCAAGTGTGTAATATAAATTGATGTTGCTTCCCAGACTATACATACAGAACTATTCTATAGCACACTGTCTAGCAAGTAACCAGAAGTGTTGTTCCTATAGAAGGCTCTGCCAGGAAAGTGTCCAGATGTTCTAGCCGTGTCTTAATCTACTGAACACAGACCGCTTGCCCCTAATTCTCGTAAAGCTTGCAAGGCATAAATATAGCAGCAGACTTGGTGGGAGCATCCGTGTGCTATAATAATAGTCCGTGTGTTCACAGTAGAACTCCCCTTATTCATTGCGATTTGGTGGACAAACATCGCGAATCCTAGAATCCCACCGGGCTATCCACAAATTGACTTCTATTTACTAGGGGGGGGGGGGGGTTGGGGGGGACGAACAAAGAAAATTCGGATAACCGCGGATAATACGAATAGGGGGCATGTTTAATATAATAGTTGTGGGTAATAAAGGTGCTTACTGATTGGCAAGTTCCCTGTGCTAGATGCTTCACTGTACTTGGACCTGTGGTCGTCGATGGGAGAGTAAAAACCCAAAACCCAGCCACAAGCGGCAGCCCAACTGTCTGCCGTTCCAGGCAGAGAGCAGCACTGACACATCCCCCATCCCTTAACAGCAAAGCCCCGTCGGCCCCCTAGTGGCCCAGCCACGTTGCAGGAGCAGACTCAATAATTACAGATTCACCAACGTTGTCACGTCTCCGAGATATATTTTTAGCTTCAAAATCTTTACTAGCTTTACCATAATTGGCTTTTTTTTCGAATGGTTAAAAAAATCAATGCATTCCAAAGTTAAATGTTTCAATTATTTGGTGGGGGGGGGGGGGGGTAGGCATTGGTGGCGAGATGTTAAATACCTCGCCTGGTATGCAGAAGGTTATGGGTTCGATCCCGACCCTGACGCCTGAAAAATTTGGAGTTTGCATGTCTCTCTCCCCGTGGTCACGTGGATTTTTCCCCCGACTCCTCCAGATTTTCCCTCCATATTTAGAATGAACATGCGTTTAGAGTATTTGGCTGCGATACATTTCCGTATGATAAGCCACTTCGTTGGGCTATCATTTGTGGCCATGTCGCTTCTGACAGAGAGCTATATAGCTCATTGGGCATTACCTGGTAATATAAAACAATAGTTTAAATTAGTTGTACTCATTTTAACCACTCTATTATGCGTAATCATCATCTTGAGCCTTGGTTAATCCACTGCTAGATGAAGGCCTCTCCCCCAGCAGTCACCATCTCTCACAATCCAGCAATGTAATAAAAGCTAATTGCATATCGGCTGATCTCAATGCCTCATCGCCTTTCTTATTATGACAATTTATTAGTATTAATTACAGTATCATAAAATGCAGGAATTGTATACGTATGCATGCTTTTTTTTCTCATATATTACCTATGTACGTATGTTGAACTTCTTCCGTACCGTACGTAGCCAACCGTGCTAATCTGAGGTGCGGTTAGACCTTCAATAGTGCTGTTCGTTGCCGGCTGCTTGGCGTTTAGGATAATTTTGGGCCTGTGCTCAGCAACTGTGATTTGAAACTAAAATGACAACCATCTGTTGGAGTCAATACATAACGAAAAAAAGGGCTCTACATTTTTGTTGCACACATTCTTTTTGCAACAACAAAAAAATCCAAATGGAAACAGTCCATGCCAAGAGCCCCTCTCTCCTGCCATAAAGAGGCGGATGGGGTATTTCCGCGAGAGTTGGTATCAAGAGACTGCGGACAACGACGCCGCAGCAGCTACTGGCGAGAGGTGTGTCGCTCAGGTCAAAGT